ATAATATTTATTATCATATATTATTATATATATTTCTTATATATGTATTTTTATATATTATATCTTTTTTTTAATTAATTTATTTTTTTTATCACAACCATAGTGTATCTTTTTTTTTTTTACTTGTATTCCTATATTATATTATATATATATAAATCAATATAAATTGATTAGAGGTCAGAGAAGGAATTTGGGCAAGGCTTTATTGGGATTTGTGCTACAGCAGGAGGGAACAAAAACAAGAGGTACCCTTGCTCACTCCCTGAGTGTGTGTTGCGGTGGTGGTGGGGGGGGGGGAGAGCTGTTTCCTTAAATGAGGTGAGAGTAGGGGCAGATAAGTGGATTCAGCAAAAGGGTGGCTTGGGTGCTCTGCCCATGCCGTTGGCCACGCTGTATGTGTAGGGATCATACATAGTACCCTTGCTCCTGTCACCTCGGAAGTGACAATTGGGTTTTGGCCTTCTTTGTACCTACTGTTCATAACTTGCCCCAACCACATGTGCATGCAGTTATTTTTAGTCCCATTGAGTTTGTGTTCTGTTGCATAGAGATGTTCTCTCAGGTGCAAGCAGTGTAGTAATGGGTCCTGGGTCCCAGCCTGTGTCATCATGACTCCAGCACAGCACTGCTTCTTCCTCAGTGAAACAGAATAATGATTAGTACATATTTCTGTTCACAGAATTGTTATTTCTTACTTCATTCATTCATTCTTTCAGTAAGAGTTTGTTGGAAACCTACTTATACCATAGGTACTGTGCCAGATATTTGAGATGAAAAAGAAAAAAAAAAGAGCTCACTGTCAGGAATTTAGTAGCTCAAATAAAATAATGCACATTAACCAAAAAAATTCCCACATTTTTAATCCTTAAAATGCTATACCTACAAACACAGGGATTGTTAACTTGAATTAGGTTTAATAAGTTGGCTGTACAAAGGACTTCAGGTTTTCTGTCCAAAAGGTTTTATGTATGAAGACTTTTGTCATTATTCAGTATAATGAGATACTGAAGACCATATAGGGAAATTTCAATAATAATTTATTTGTGTTCTATCTACTCCCATAAAGCAGTTGAAATAGTTCTTATGGAAAAAAGAAAATGTTAGAAAACAAACAAGTGATCATAGAGACCAGAAACAGACACAGAAGGAGAGACGAAGGAACAGATGGAAGTTCGGCCACTGAGCAAAATTCTCAAGCGTTAACTTCCTTAAAACCAGGAGAGTGTCTATTTCATCAGATTGTTAAATTAATGCTTAAAAAAATGTGAAACAGATCGCCAGTCCCGGTTGGATGCATGAGACAAGGTGCTCAGGGCTGGTGCACTGGGATGACCCTGAGGGATGGGATGAGGAGGGAGGTGGGAGGGGGGTTCAGGATGGGGAACACATGTACACCCATGCCTGATTAATGTCAATGTATGGCAAAACCCACTACAATATTGTAAAGTAATTAGCCTCCAATTAAAATAAATTAATTTAAAAGGAGCAATGATTTCAACACACTCATTGTATGGGTCCATAGTGTTTCATGTTGTTACTATTTATAGTATTAACTTCTCGGAATTTATTAAGCAATAATGGAACATCTAATCAAGGAGAAGAAGGATGTGAAACTAAGAGCATGTTTTTATAAGTCTGAAGCCTCAGGACCTATTCTGTGCTGAATGAAACAGGCTCCTGACATTCCCTACCCTGTCAGCCAACTCAGTCTCCTGCACCTTTCCCTGGGTCCCACCACCGCCTGGCACAATGACCATCTCCTGCATTTGGGCTCCCCCTGCCTCCCATGCTTCCCAACCAGACCCTGCCCCAGCAGCCTGGTTCCCACAGGGCCCTGTGTATAGCCAGGACTCTTAGCCCCTGCTCCTGTTTCCTCCTTCCTGGATCACCCTCCTATCTTGCTGCAAGTCCTCACCTCTTACAGAGGACAGTTCAGATCTCACCTCCATGACCTCTCCAGCCCACGCTGAGTCCTTCTCCTTGCCGTCCTACTGTGCATGCATTCACACACTAACTGAAAGGCCTATGACCTTTGCTTCTTTTCTTGTGAGAAATAAGAAGCAAGGTGAAATTAGACCAAAAACCACATCATCAATTTTTTAAAAACAGAAATACATTTATAGAATGATCTTAGAGTGAGGAGGGATAGTAGAGGACCTAGTCTTACTTAATCCCCACAGTCAGATGTGCCAAGATTTTGGAGTGTGAAAAAACTGAGGCTCAGCACTGTTGAGCTTGCCAATGTTTTGCCCTCAGGACAAGTTCCTCTCTCAGCTGGGCATCAGCAGGCCCAGCCTCGGTTGCACTGGCTCTGCTGCTGCCACTGTGGGGTGACTGGACCTCTCAGGCCTTGGTTTCCTCATCTGTAAAGTGAGGACACTAGACCCTCCTGCACAGGTTCAGTGAGGAGCCAGTGAGTGATGCAGACACAGTCAGAACTGGCTCAGGGCTGACCCCAGGAAGCTTCCATCACATAACCTGCAGCTGTTGTTTCATACCTGGAGCCATCACACCAGCCTGGGAATGAGGAAGTTGACCCTCTGATTCCCTCTGTGAGTGGCATCTATGCGCATGTTTGGTACATCGTTCACTTAGGGCCTTGTGCTCCTCTGACAACCCCATCTTTACTGTCATCGTAACTTTAGAAGTCCTACTGCTGGGTTCGGTGAGCAGCGAGCAGGCCTTACATGGGGGTTTCATCCCCTGGGTCTGGTACACCCGGTATTTAAGGTCTTGGGCTTTCCCATAGAAGCAATGTTGATGCAATAGCTAAGTCTGTACCTTCTGTGGAGGGCTGTAAGGCATAGTGATTAGAAACACAGACTGTTGGGCTATTCGCCTCATGGAATCTTGATGTGTGTGTGTTGGTATGGGTGGGGGGGCGCAGTTTCTAAGAATAAAACAAGGAGAAATAATGATAGAATACACCATTAAAAAAATTACAACACAAATGGAAGCTGAGGGAAATATTCACAGCATATACACCCAGTGGCTCAGCGGTAAAGAATCTCCCTGCAGTTCAGGAGCCACAGGAGATACGGGTTTGATCCCTGGGTGGGGAAGATCTCCTGGAGGAGGGCATGGCAACCCACTCCAGTATTCTCTCCTGGAGAATCCCATGAACAGAGGAGCCTGGTGGGCTGCACCAGGGGTCACAAAGAGTCGAACACCACTGAAGCGACTGAGCATGCACCCATACTACAAAAGTTAGTATCCTTGATGTAAAATGAGCACTTGCACATTAATAAATGAAAGACAAAGGACATAGGCAGTTCACAAAAGAAGCAGAAATGACTAATAAGCATATGAAGATGCGTTCAATCTCCTTAGTTATCGACCAGCTTCAAGTTATAACATCAATGAGATAGAATTTCTTTGTTTATTCAACTGACAAAGGATTTTTTGTAAAATGATAATAACCTAGGTAGGCTAAAGTGAGAATTTAACCTTGCTCTGAGGAATCTTGGAAGCATGCATCAACCCCTTACTGTCTGCATACAGTGGAACCAAGCAAGTCCACATTTATACTATTGGAAATAATGCCCAAAGCTGCTTATGATTATTAGAACAGATTAAAGTTTACAAACAACCTGAGTGTTCATTAGTAGAGGGGACTAAACCAATTGTTTTTATCTTTAGAATGGAATATTCCACAACTATTAAAGAACACATTTTAGAAGAATTATGATAACATTAAGTGGGGAGCTGTTCATGATATATTGCTGAGTGGGGAAAGCAAGCTGTAAAAACAGTATGTGCAGTAAGACTGTATATTTATGAAGAAACCTCTGGGCTATATGTGTCATGAAGTTTCTCCCTCTTACTCAGGAAAGACAGACAAATTTGAGCATGTTTTCAGTCATTTTAGCATCGGCTAGAGGTTTTTTGCCAAATAGATTTACTTGGCATTCTACTTTCTGATTTTCAACATAGCTCCTAATACAGGGTCTGCTGAGTTTGGCATCTACTGAAGTTTTAGAGATAGACCCAGGAAACCTAGGAGGTTTGAGACAATGGATATTAAATACGAATGTTTATGTGTGACTAAATATTACTGGTGCTTGTCTATGGGTAAGGAGACTGACAGCAATTTCATTTTCCTTATTTATATTTACTACCTAAATTTTCAAAAATAAATGTATATCCTATAATTTATGCTAAAAATGATATTTTAAAGGTAATTTTGAAGTGAGGATATCTAGGAGAGTGAGAATTAGTATTTTCTTCTAGATAAAAATATTTAATGAAAATTGAGGGACTTCCCCGGTGGTTCAGTGGCTAAGACTCCATGCTCCCAATGCAGGGATCCCTGGGGCCATCCCTGTTCAGGGAACTAGATCCCACAGTCGACAACTAGGAGATCCCATGTCACAACCACAACCAAAAGAACACATCAGCCACACACAACAAAGGTCAAAGATCCCGCATGCAGCAACTAAGACCCAGGGCAGTCAAATTAACAAATAAATAATAAATATTTAAAAAAGAAAATTCACAGCTAAGCTTAGAAGTAATTACATATGTGTAAATTTATTTATTTTATTTATTATTTTTTTTTCTCGTATGAGACCTTTTATTACAACTGCACCCTGAGGGCTCAGGCACCGCCCTGCCTCCGGCCCTGCAAGCGAGGCTGGTCTCCCTGGAGCACAGGACACGGGCTTTGCTGGGCTGCCCTCCTGGTCCGGGAGGAGCATCTTTTCTTTCGGTGATGCTCTCTCCGAGGCTGGGCGATGCACAGGGGCTTTGTCTCTGGGGATGCCCAGGGTCACACAGTCCACTTCAGGCACCTGGTCTCCTGGTGGGTGCCCAGACAGCGCACAGTACAGTACCGGGCACTGCAGCTGACACGGGTGTCGGGGGAGGGGAAGCCGCAGACAGCACAAAAGGGGCGCTGGGGCCGGGACGGGGGTCCCGCACAGGCCATCAGGTAGTTAGGACCCTCGGCCACACCCAGGTTCTGCTCTCCCAGCAAGGCCTGAGGAGCTTAAAATGATCACCTCGTGTTTTCTTCTTTTTCTTTCCAGTGTCTGCGTCGTCATCAAACTGAGGCAGCCGCTTGCCCAGCTGGGGGAGGCCCACGCGGGGGTCGTCCTGGAAGCTGTCATTCTCCAAGGCCTCGAGCTGCCTGTTGATGCAGCGCTGCCGGGCTGCCGGGTCCAGCACCCGCCGCTGACCAGGGTCCTGGGAGCGAACCGAAGTTTTCTTCTCCACCATTTCCACAGGACAGCTCTATATATATGTAAATTTATATATAAAAGACTAGAAGTAAATATGCCAAAAATCTCCAAAGTGGCACCCTGCTAAGATTATTAATAGTAAAATTATGAAGATTAATAGTTCTTTATACTAAATATAATCTATATACTTATTTACATACATATGTAACACATATATAGAGAGACCACATCAAAATTCTCTTGGAGGAAACAGGTGACCAACCAACCACTAGGTTACAAGGAAACATGTGGCTTAACAAAGCCTTTTTTTTTTTCCCTACAATTCCTGTATCTACAATTCCTATATCTAAGGCTCCTCTGTGCTCAGAATACATGTTAGGGATCCCTTGAAATGGCCTCAGTTATGTTCCAATAAAATTTTATTCACTGATGCCAGAATTTGAACTTCATATAATTTTCATGTCATGAAACAGTTTTCTGGAGGCTTTTTTGAACCATTTAAAAATGTAAACACCATTCTTGTTGGCTGTACAAAAATGGGCATTTGATCCACCCAAATGTGTTTGTTGTATTTGCTGACTTCTGATGGAGAAAACTGAAAGAGGTGAGGGGAATTCAGAGAGCAATCTCTTCTTAGCTGCAGAATTGATGTATTAAAATAGAAAGGAAGAAACCAGATGAAGTTAGAGAGAGAAACATGGTAATGCAGAACCAAACTACATAGGATTTTAGGAGAACTTTGGTTTTAGGGACACGGTGAGGCATTAAAGGGGCTTGCTAGGTGGTGCTAGTGGTAAAGTATCTGCCTGCCAATGTAGGAGATCCTGTTCAGTTAACTTAATTGGTTAGAGTGCAGTGCTAATAATGTCAAGTTCGCAGGTTCGAGCCTGATCCTTGTGTGAGCCAAGTTTGTTTGACATTTTGGGCTTCCTTAGTGCCTCAATGGTAAAGAATATGCCTGACAATGCAAGAGACGTGGGTTCGATCCCTGGGCCGGGAAGATCCTCAGGTCGGAGATATTCCTGGAGGAGAAAATGGCAACCCACTCCAGTATTCTTGCCTAGGAAATCCCATGGACAGAGGAACCTGGTGGGCTATAGTCCATGGGGTCGCAAAGAGTCAGACACAACGGCACACATACACAAAGAAGGAGACACAAGAAATGCGGGTTCAATCCCTGGGACAGGAAGATCCCCTGGAGCAGGAAATGGCAACCCACTCCAGTATTCTTGCCTGTAAAATTCCATGGACAGAGGAGCCTGGAGGGCAGAGGAGCCTGGCAGGGGACAGTCCATGGGACTGCAAAGAATTGGACACAACTAAGTAAGTGAGCACACCGAGGCGTTAGGGGGTTTTGAGAAGAGAAATGCCATGACGTGACTTAAGCCTTAAAATTATCAAGTCCAAATTTAACCTGGTTTAGTAATAGGAATTAGTTGAACTTGAATGGATGAATTCATAAATAAAACACCTAGAGAAAATTCCTTTCTGAGTAGATTTTTCTCCCAGCTGGGCAAACTCAACTAGTTCTTAGTTTAGCTAAATTATAGGAGAAAACACTTTTACAAAGATAGTCTATGTGGATCTCAACCTGAATGAAGCTGATTTCTCTCCATGTTTCAAAGGTTTTTCTCTATTGAATCCAATGCCATAGAAATGTATTCAAATTCTGTTTAGATCCTGACTGGTCACCAGAAAACTCCAAAGTTTGAATATTCAGGCTGAAAAAAAACTGTTTTTCTTTTCTGAGACTAATTTCTGTAACTTAGCAATGGAAGTATTTTCATTGCAAGGGAAGGACCATTATATTTCTACTTTAGTCACCACTTCCCTGAGCTGAATGTTGACTGCAGAGATAAGACTGAGTAAATAATCTTGATGACAGTAGAATTGCCTTGTGCTTCTTTCCACCTTCACAACACCTACATTAAGGGGTAACTGTGAGGAGTAAATGAGGATTCAATCATAAGGCATGCAGCACCGTGCCTGGCACCTGTAGATGATGAATAAAGGACACAGTACAGACTTATTTGGGTTCTTAATCAGGCTGGAGAGGAAGGCACCCCTTTGCTTCTGGTAATTGTAATCACAGGCCTCTTTGTCCCATAGCTTCTGGTTTTCATTTCTGGGCCAGGCTTTGTGCTAATTCATTCATCCAGATGTTTCCTGCCTCTTCGTGCAAAAATACAAAGCTCTGTCCCTTTAGATGTCATTGCCAGGAGTGAAAACATGAGCACCCAAAAAGTGGTCTCTTCCCTACATTCATTCTCTCAGTCAGATTCTTCACCTGGTTGAGGTAGTCACATTTGAAATTTTTACCTCAAAGCACTTACCTACAAAATGTCCACAAGTAAAAATGGTAGCATTTAAAGAAAATGAAAATGACACTTTCTTGTCTCCCTGTGAGGAATGAATAAGATGAAGCTCTTAGCACAGCACCTGATTTAAGGTAAGCTTTCACTACTGGTACTGTCAACTGTTTCTCAGAGATTAAGGGGAAAACACCTGGGGTTTGGGCCTTCAGACCAGGAAATGGCATACCTCCATTTAGCGCTCATTTAATGCTAGAAAGGGCCCTTAAATAGTTGTGCATAAAGTGTTTAACTTTCTATTCTGAAAGGAAAAGAAAATTTTTTGATGAAACCAAAACAAAAATAGTTTCCTCACTTTAATCCTATAGTAGGAAGAGCAGCTTCTGAACTAGTGGGATTAGAGTGGTTCCATCTCGCCATCTAGGGAGCTAGGGAAAAGCCAAATTTAGAGAAAGTTGATTAATCTAGTTTTAATTTTGTTTTCCAAGTCTGTAATTCACCAAAAATGTGTTTTCTAATATGAATAATTTAAAGTCCCTATTAGATTCACTAGTGAGGAAACTTCATTCAAATTGTCAAAGCAAAATGAAAACACTAATATTTAAACTCTACGCCCCAAAACTATCTAAATGAAGAAGTTCTGCCGAGAGAAGAGAAAATACTCCCCAGGATTTATCAGCATAAATTTCCATGGCCATCAGTCGCATTCATCTGGAACTTCTCTAGCAATAGACTGCGTTTATTCTGGCACATGCACTGGGAGTGTCCCAGCGACCAGGGCTACGTCTTCCCAGATCACTGCTAGACATCGACTGGGGCTAGAGTCATTCCATTCATTTCCCAAGAATGCAACTGCCTTTTGTAACCAGGATCCTTGGCAAGGACCTGTGTTCTTGGTTTGAGGTTGTGTGTGTGTGTGTTTCCTCTCCTTTTATTACTAAGGTTGTTCATTACAGTTATAACCTGCTCTCTCCCCTTAGGTGTTTATGAGAATTTTCTTTCTCTCTAGAATGAAAACAATGGCAGTAAGATTACCTCCAAAACTAAGTAATAGTAGCATATATGAAATATCCAGAGTTGTTCTGAGACCCTCTAGTTAGTGTTACGATTACTATAATATTAACAACGATGTCTGAGGAGGCCTTACAAATAGCTGTGAAAAGAAGAGAAACAAAAAGCAAAGGAGAAAAGGAAAGATATACCCATTTAAATGCAGAGTTCCAAAGAATAGCAAGGAGAGATAAGAAAGCCTTCCTCAGTGATCAGTACAAAGAAATAGAGGAAAACAATAGAATGGGAAAGACTAGAGACCTCTTAAAAAAAATTAGAGATACCAAGGGAATATTTTATGCAAAGATGGGCTCAGTAAAGGACAGAAACAGTATAGACCTAACAGAAGCAGAAGATATTAAGAGGTGGCAAGAATACACAGGAGAACTGTACAAAAAAAGATCTTCACGACCCAGATAATCACGATGGTGTGATCACTCACCTAGAGCCAGACATCCTAGAATGTGAAGTCAAGTGGGCCTTAGGAAGCATCACTACAAACAAAGCTAGTGGAGGTGATGGAATTCCAATTGAGCTATTTCAAATCCTGAAAGATGATGCTGTGAAAGTGCTGCACTCAATATGCCAGCAAATTTGGCAAACTCAGCCGTGGCCACAGGACTGGAAAATGTCAGTTTTCATCCCGATCCCAAAGAAAGGCAATGCCAAAGAATGCTCAAACTATTGCACAATTGCACGCATCTCACATGCTAGTAAAGTAATGCTCAAAATTCTCCAAGCCAGGCTTCAGCAATATGTGGACTGTGAAGTTCCAGATGTTCAAGCTGGATTTAGAAAAGGCAGAGGAACCAGAGATCAAATTGCCAACATCCGTTGGATCATAGGAAAAGCAAGAGAGTTCCAGAAAAACATCTATTTCTGCTTTATTGACTATGCCAAAGCCTTTGACTATTGTGGATCACAACAAACTGTGGAAAATTCTAAAAAAGATATGAATACCAAACCACCTGACCTGCCTCTTGAGAAACCTGTATGCAGGTCAAGAAGCAACAGTTAGAATTGGACATGGAACAATAGACTGGTTCCAAATAGGAAAAGGAGTATGTCAAGGCTGTATATTGTCACCCTGCTTATTTAACTTATATGCAGAGTACATCATGAAAAATGCTGGGCTGGCTGAAGCACAAGCTGGAATCAAGATTGCCAGGAAAAATATCAATAACCCCAGATATGCAGATGACACCACCCTTATGGCAGAAAGTGAAGAACTAAAGAGCCTCTTGATGAAAGTGAAAGAGGAGAGTGAAAAAGTTGGCTTAAAGCTCAACATTCAGAAAACTAAGATCATGGCATCTGGTTCCATCATTTCATGGCAAGTAGATGGGTAAACAGTGGAAACAGTGGCTGACTTTATTTTGGGGGGCTCTAAAATCACTGCAGATGGTGACTGCAGCCATGAAATTAAAAGACGCTTACTCCTTGGAAGGAAAGTTATGACCAATCTAGACAGCATATTGAAAAGTGGAGACATTACTTTTCTAACAAAGGTCTATCTAGTCAAGGCTGTGGTTTTTCCAGTAGTCATGTATGGATGTGAGAGTTGGACTATAGAGAATGCTGAGCACCAAGAGTTGATGCTTTTGAACTGTGGTGTTGAAGAAGACTCTTGAGAGTGCCTTGGACTGCAAGGAGATCCAACCAGTCCATCCTAAAG